AAAAGAGCTTCAAGACGGCCCCAAAGGGCGTCAAGCGGACATCCGAGAAGGCCTGGAGAGGCTATAATCGTTGATGTTCGTAACGGATCTTGCTAGTTCCCTTCCGTTCTGAACCTCTTCACAGGGCCCCGACAAGGCTTCGAGTGGGAAGCGGACGCCGCGGGAACTGATATGGGACGCCCTGCTTGAACTCCCCCTCCTCACGGTTTTCTTTTCTCGCAATCTATGCCCATCTGCGCTCCAGGACGCTTCCGAGAGAAGTCTTCCAGACGCCTATGGCGGTCCCCGAATGGCCCAAGACGACCTCAGGGCAGCCCAAGAGATCCCCAAGATGGCACCACAGGGCTCCAAGAGGACCCTGAGGAAGACCTCAAGAGATCCAAACCATAGATTTCCTGATGTGAGCGACGCAAGAAAACGGGGTCGTCTTCGCCGACGTTGGCGCGTAAGCTGCGCGCGTGAGCGCCCTCGGCTCCAATGTAGCGTGCCGCGCTGGCGGCCCGCGTAATAAGCTGCGGCGCAAGGTCGCCGTGCCACCCCGCATCAGACCCATGTTTGATCCTCGCTCACGTGTGCCTGGCCCAAGCCTGGAGGAGCCCTGGGCCTGCCCCCACGCAGCGCGCCGCGCCTCCGATGAGGCAGGGCGGCGCGAGGCACGACGCGCAGGAGGCGCCGCGCGGGGCAGAGCCGCTGCTGGCGGCCGGCGCGGCCTCCCGGGGGGCCCTGCCGCCGGGCGGCGTGCTGGCCCCTGCTTCACCGCAGGGCCCTGCGGAGGGCTGGCCGTCGCCGCAGAGGAGGCCGTCGACTGGCCCGCTGCGGAAGGGCCAGGTCCTCGTGCCGTCGAGGACGCTCGACAACGACGCCCAGCGCGTGGCGAACAGCGGCCGGCCGATCTCTCCTGCGGGCAGCAGCCAGAGGGCCTACGCCAAGGCGGCCCAGCAGTTCGGGCTGCAGGTCGACAGCGTCGGGTTCCCGAAGCCTGCGGTGAAGGCCACGCCGTTCCCAGAGATGGGCGCTCGTCCTGGGCTTGCCTCCCGCCCCGGCACCGCGCCCGGCGTCACCGACGACCGCACGGGCGGCCCCCGATATGGCATCGGCGCGAGGCACAACTCCAAGGTCTCCCTCGTCCTGCCGCCGTCGCCGCACCGCGGGCCCGCACGGTCCAGCAGCAGCACCAGCAGCTCCCCGCAGCTGAGGCGGACCCTCAGCAGGACGGGCGGCGGCTTCCTGGACCCGAACGCCCCCGTGCACACGCCGACGGGGCCGTCCCCGCTGTGGTCCGAGCTGCACCCCGACGCCAACGCCGCCTGCCACCCCACCTCGCTCATCGACCCCGCGAAGCGCGCGCAGAGGCTGCTGGGCACCCTGTCCTCCCTGCGGCGCCAGGCCAAGATGCGGTCCTCCTCCTCCTCCTCCACGCTGCCCGGGTCCCCCCCGGCGCTGCAGGAGGCGGGGGAGGCTGGCCAGGGCGCCTCCGAGGAGGCGGAGGCGCCGCGGGCCTCGGCGGTGGCGGAGGAGACCCCCGAGGAGACGCTGATGCACTCGACCCTGCGGGACCTCTGCGACACCTGCGGCGACCTGCAGGAGCTGCTGGCCTCGCTGCAGGCGGCGCAGGACCCCGTGGAGGAGCTCGGCGCGACCAGGCACCCCACGGCGCTCATCTCTGGCCGCACCATCGCGGTGGTGAGGCGGAAGGCCGCGCTGCTGAAGGCGGCCGAAGCCCGGGCCGCCCAGGTGCAGGCCGCCCTGAGGTCGGCCGAGGCCATGCGGCAGCTGCTGCTGCGCGCCGACCAGCCGGCCGATGCGGTGCTGGCAGAGGCGCCGGAGGAGCTCCGCTGGTCTTTCGAGGCGCTGCAGAACATCAAAGGCTTCATCGCCGATCACACTCACAAGGACGGGGACCCAGCTGAGGCCAACAAGAGCCAGTTCGAAGCCTTCGCCGCGTCCTTCGGGCTCCCAGCGAAGCACGAGATCCTGCTGAGGTTGCGCTCTCTGGCCAAGGAGGCCGTCGACTGGTGGGCCCCAGCGACCCTCGAGTGCGCCATGCGAGAGGAACCCGAGGAAGACATCGACGCAATCAAACGGATGATCAAGCTGGCCGTGGGCGTCATGAACGAGAAAGGACACGACGACCTGTTCAAGGCCGAGCAGGTCATCGCCGAACGAGCCTGCAAGCGGTGCGTGGACCGGTGCCTGGAGCTGTTCGAGCAGGAGGAAGAGCGGGCAGGGAGGAGCAACGGGGTGATGCCAGAGATGGCGAAGCGGTGCGCAGAGGCCATCGAGGCGGAGATCAAGGATGCTGTCCAGACTTTCGGCGCCGACGCTACCGACCTGAACATGCAAGAGGCGAAGCGCCTGGCGCGGCTGATGCTCCAGGAGGAGCTGGAGCGCCACGCCCAGAAGGCGCTGAGGCATGCGCGGGCGTGCCGGGAGAAGGACGCCGCCGCGGCAGAGGCGGCCAGGACGGCGGAGGGGCAAGAGGCGGTGCCCGAGGTGGGGCTCGCGAGCGCGCTCGCGGACACGGTGGACGCAGAGGTGGAGCGGGCCAGGAAGCTCCGGGTTCCAGAGCACCACGCGGCCCTCATCGAGTGCGCCAGCATCGCGAAGGACCTGCGCGATCAGGACGGCAGGGGTGGACCTGGACGGTGTTTGGGCGAGCTCGCGGGCCGTTCTCGTTTCGATGTTCGCTTTGCGCGAAGGGCGGACTGGAGACAGAACGAGGGAAAGCGGACACGAAACGAAGACGAAAAACACCGCTCAGGCTCAGCCCTGCAGGACGGTATGCGCAAGCGCGCCCGGGCCAGGCTGGAGCGGCTCGCCAAGCAGGCCGCGGCCCGCGCGGCGGAGGCCTCGGCCGGCCCCGGAGGCGGGGGCTGAAGGCGGCCCGCGGGCCTCCTTCGGCAGCCGGGCCGCCGCCTTTCGGCCGCGGCGGCGGGCTGCGGGGGGAGGGAGGGTCGCGCTCTGGCCGAGGGTCGATTGATGGGCATGTTTTCCAGCACCACCACCATAAGTTGGAGGGGGAGGGGGTCCTCCTCCTCCTCCTCCTCCACCTCCTCCTCCTCCTTCCCCCCTCCAACTTATGGTGGTGGTGGTGGTGGAAAACAGGCCCACCATCGATGGGGAATCCATCCAGGCCTCCCAGATGGGGTCGCAGCAGACGGGGTCGGAGGATCTCGCCGCACCATTGCCGATGCATCGGCGCTGCGGCTCCACGTGGAGCCCGCTTTTCTCCACGCCAGCGTCGCCGATGCACCGCCGACGTCGCCGATGCATTGTCGATGCATCGGCGATGTGCGTAGCACCCCGCAGATGCGGATAAGAGTGAGGGGGCGGTGGGAACGTCGGCAGTTTGCGAGACTCTGGAGAAGCCCGCCGCAGGCGCCAAAGTTTCATAAATTATGCAACGCCCGATTTTTCCGTTAAGCCAATCTGGGTCGGTCGCGGGTGGGTCGCGGGTGTAGAGGGCAATCCACCCTATAATAGTCACCCCGACAAGCGAAGCCGTTTAGTAAACGCACACAAGGAATGCTCGCCCGTATCTGCTCGAGTGTCCAATAGCGCGTATTTCTCAAACCCTCGATGCCCGCCCTCTGCGTCTTCGATCGAACCCCCTTTGGGGGGTATTCTTTTCTTCCCTGCAGGCCGGGCCTCGGCAAGCGGCGGGGCGGCCGCGGACCGTCGGCCTGGCCAGCGGCAGCGCTGATCGGCGGGGCGGCCGCGGACCGTCGACCCGACCCCAAGAGGGACGGACAGGGGACCGACCACGACGACGTCGACGTCGACGACGACGGCGACGACGACGACGGCGACGGCGACGAGCGAAAGCGAGAGCGAGAGAGACCGACAGCAGGGCCACGAAGGATACGAAGTAGCCCACGAAGGGCGACAGCCGGGACACGAAGGGAATGCGTATGGGGCCACGAAGAGCGCGAACGAGCGGGGGCCACGAAGGGCAGATTATGCGGGGCCACAGGAGGCAACGATGGGGCCATTGAGGGTAGCAACTGGGCCACGTAGGACAGTGAGTGGGCCACAAACGGCGACAGCGGGGCCACGAAGGGCATGCACATGGGGCCACAACTGGCGCGAACGAGCGGGGGCCACGAAGGGCATACGTATATTGGACCGCGGAGGGCAAGGACGGGGCCACTGGGGCAGCAACGGGGCCACGAAGGGCAGCGAGGGGGCCGCGAAGGGCGACAGCTGGGCCACGAAGGGCATGCATATGGGGCCACCGCGGGCGCGAACGAGAGGGGGCCACGAAGGGCATACATAACTATTTGGGGCCACGAAGGGCTGCAACGGGAGCCACGAAGGACTGCAACGGGGCAGCGAAGGGCAGCGTGGGGGCCACGAAGCGTTGTAACGGGGCCCCGAAGGGCTGCCACGGGGCCATGAAGGGTAGAGAGGGGGCCACGAAGGGCTGTGACGGGGCCACGAAAGGCAGCGAGGGGGCTACGAAGGGCTGCAACGGGGCCACGAAGGGCAGCGAGGAGGCTACGAGGGGCTGCAACGGGGCCACTAAGGGCAGCGAGGGGGCCACGAAGGGCTGCAACGGGGCCACGAAGGGCAGCTAGATGACGATTCCTAGGTAATCTGTGAGGGTTTCCTATGCGTGAGCGCGACTCCTGGGTGCCTGGGTGTCGGGAGCGCGGCGCTTGAGTAAATTGTAAGAAATTCGAACGCAAGGGCGCTGTTCTTCAGTAAACTGCAAGCAGGTCTCCAGCGAAAGCGCGATTCCACATCGCCGGGAGAGCGATTCTTGAATAAATTGTCAGGAAGTCCCAAGCGAGACCGCGATTCCTGCATCAAATGCGAGGAAGTCTCGGGCGGGAACGGGGGTCCAGGCTAAATTGTGAGGAAGTATCAGGCGGGAACCGTTGTTGTTGTTGTTGTTGTTGTTGTTGTTGTTGTTGTAAACTGGGGGCCAACGGCACAGTTTGATCCTCAAGATTTTCCCTGATAAAATAATAGGGTGCGAGCCCCGGGAAGGGCACTTCAATCAAAAAACAATGTGCACCAGACGGGGGGGTCAACAACCAATATTTTTCAGAAATGAGAGTTCAACAACAACAAACAACAACAGCACCACCAACAACACCAACAACACCAACAACAACATCAACAACACCACCAACAACACCAACAACAACAACCACAACCACAACCACAACAACAGCAACAACACCACCAACAACAACCACATCAGCAACAGCAACAACAGCAACACTGACAACAACACCAACAACACCAACAATAACACCACCACCAACAACAACATCACCAACAACAACAACAGCGCAACAAGCATATTTGTTTCCTCGAATTCCTTGTTCAGCCACGCACCCAGGGACAATGAATGACCGTTCGCCCCCCTCACTCTGATCTGCGATGCGGCGTGACCCTCCGACCCCACCTACGCGGACACCAGCTGGGAGGCCTCTACGGGGGGGGGGGTGCAGGGGACGGTGGCCCCTGGAGGTGCGTCGCGGGCACCTCAAACGAGGGCCTTCGCGTGCCGCTTCCCGGCCAGGCTGGAGTCCTCAGCCCGGGGCGCCGCTGCAGAAAAAGAAGAAAGATCTCCCAGTGTGTTTGTGCGTGTGTGTGTGTGTGTGTGTGTGTGTGTGTGGACGCAGCCTGCCTTGCGGCTTCCCCCCCCCCCAAGCCGCTGCCGGCCCGCCGCCGCTGGTCCCCGCCCCCCCGGCGCCGCCCCCGCCACGCACCCGGCCCTGCCCTGAGCGTGCCTGGCTTCCTCCTCCCTCCCCGCGGCGGCCGGGCGCCTCCTCCCTCCCTGCTCCTGCATGGTGGCCTAGTTCGCGTTTCGTGCGCCTACCAGCACCCCATCGCCAGCGCAGGCGCTCTGCCCAGCCGCCAGCGGAAAAAGTGTGTGTGTGTGTGTGTGTGTGTGTGTGTGTGTGTGTGTGTGTGTGTGTGTGTGTGTGTGTGTGTGTGTGCGTGTGTGGACCTTCGTGTAGTGGCCGTCCCACGCTTCCGTCACCCGAAGACGACCCTCAAGGAGGCCCTGGATGCCTCCAAGCCTCCGAAGGCGCCAGGCGGCCCCAGAGCTCCCCGAGACGGTGGAGAGGCCTCCTCATAATTAGCCCCCGAGGGATCCCTGAAGGATCACCAGACGCCCCTCATAGGCTCCCAGGAGGCAGCACAACGCCCATGTTTTGCATCTTCCGGGCGTGCACCCTTTCAAGCGAGAGGAATCCCCTAGAGCCCCCCTCAAAGGCACACGCGTCTCCAAGATGCCCCGAGAGACATCCGTGAGAGGTCCGAGACATCCTTCCTCTTCCTCGTCTTTCCTGGTTATCTCGTTCCTCCTTTCTTCCCTCCCGCCTGAACCTCTTCAGAGGGCTCCCACGACGCTCAAGTGAGAAGGGACGCCCTGATCGATTTTGCCTAAAGGTGTCCCTCTCTCTTCGCCCTGCTGCTCTTCCCTTTCTCCCTGTCTTCTCCATGCCGCCTTGTCATCTTCAGGAAACTCCGTCATAGAACTCCATGCTTCCAGCTCTGTCCTCACCATTTATTGCATCGCGAGTCGTGCGCACCGCACGGGGATCCTGAGAGGACCCATCGGACTCTCGAGCACCTCCTCCGACCCATCCCAGCTGTTCCAAGCAGCGTCGCTTCCTCAGTTCCCCGTTCACGTTAGGGATGCGTCTCTGGAAGACACCCCCGCGAATGGCCGAAGAGCCCCCAGCATGTCCTCGACGAGTTTCCAGAACCTTCCAAACGCGCCATCGAGAGTCTCCCAGGGAGTTCCCAAGACGCCCAACATAGACTTCCAAGAGGTCCTCCAGGGCTCCAGGACGCCTCCCTCGCTGAGTGGAAGCACACCGCGGGAGCCACTGTGACTCTTCTCTCCCCTCGCCTCCTGTGCTCGTCCCTCCCCTTCCCTGTGGCTGCCTCGCTCTCCCTGCCCTGCACGCCTCCTTCCCTCCCCTCCTCCGTCTCGTGCAATGCCCGCACGTGCTCGAAGGATTGCAAAAAAACCCTGGAACGAAGGATTGCAAAAAACCTGTTTTTTTGCAATCCTTTTTTTTTTTGTTGCAATCTTGGTTTTTTTTTTTGCAATCCTTCGAAGGTCGGGGTCCGCGGCTCCAGCGCGCTTCCGAGGCGTTGGACGTCCTCGTGGGCCCGGGGTGCCCACCTCGCCCCCCCCCCCCGACCCGTTCGGGCAGGCGCGCGTCCCGGCCAGCGTTCTGAAGGAGTCCCCTCCTTGTCCTTCTCCTCCTCCTCCTCTTCCTCCTCCTCTTCCTCCTCCTCCTCCTCCTCTTCCTCCTCCTCCTCCTCCTCCTCTTCCTCCTCCTCCTCCTCCTCCTCCTCCTCTTCCTCCTCCTCCTCCTCCTCCTCCTCCTCCTCCTAGGCCCTCCGGCCGCGGTCGCCGGGGCGGTGGGGGAGGCCTCCCGACAGAGCGACGCCAACAGGTTTCACCCTCGACCTGGAACATTTCAGGGGCACCGAGAGGGTGGACGGGCCAGGGGGAGCATCGACTCCGGCTCGCCCGTGCATCGCCGATCGATTCCTGCCAGCCCCACCCCATCCAGGAGCGTTGGGTCTCGCTATCCAGGACCCATCGATGCACCACCGACTCCACGTCAATGTCCCCTCCCCGAGTCGGTCCCCCCTCTCGTTTCCCCTCACTGGTCCCCTTGCCCGCCCCGCTTTGATCTTTGACCCTTGCTCTTCTTACCTTGCGCAGGCCGCTGGGCGGACTCGGCACCCGTGGCGTCGGGATCTGCTGACGCACGGCGCCGACCGAGCACGGAGCGGGCACCCGGCGAGGCAGTGCAGAGCTCGCAGCGCTCACCCAGGCTCGGCCCCTGTGGCGGGGACGACGCGGCGGGCCAGCCGCCACGCCTGCTCGAGCATCTGCTTCTCCTTCTCCTCCTCCTCCTCCTCCTCCTCCTCCTCCTCCTCCTCCTTTCCCTCCTCCTTCCCCTCCTCTTCCTCTCGGAGGGGCGCCAACTATACACCACCACCAGCCCTGGCCAGGCACTTCCTGGACCCTGGATCGGTGTACAGACCTCCTGGCCTAGGCCAGGAAGGCCTGCACATCAACCCAGGGCCCACGATAGGCCTGGCCAGGGCTGGTGGCGGTGTATTCTTTGGAGCTCTCCTATCCTCCTCCTCCTCCTCCTCCTCCTCCTCCTCCTCCTCCTCCTCCTTCTCCTCTTCCTTTTCCTCCTGCTGCTCCTCCTCCTCCTCCTCCTCCTCCTCCTCCTCCTCTTCCTCCCCCGCCCCAGCCCCCAAGAGGTCGCAGGGCCGCTCACCTACCGCTTCGCCGCCTCGACGCGCGGGCTGGCCGCGGGACAGGGCGCGGAGCGGGCCCTGACGTACGAGTTGGCCGCCGCCTCGAAGGGCATCCCGCGCGCGAGGGCGACGACGCCGACGACGCCGACGACGCCGAAAGCCGACGACGTCGACGGCGACGTCGCCACCGTCGGCAACGCCGCCGTCAGCTTTCGCCTCGTTGCGGTCGTCGTCGCTGCCGTCGTCGTGGCCGTCGGCGTCGGCGTCGTCGTCGGCGTCGTCGCCGTCGGCGTCGTCGTCGGCGTCGTTGCCGTTGGCGTCGTCGTCCTTGTCGTCCGCGTCGTCATAGCTTGCGCTACATCTTACAGCCTGCCTCTCTCTACAATCTCATTGCGCTAACTAGTTTTTTATACGCCGAGTTGTGTGCCCAAACCTCACTTTAGTGGCCTTCGGCCCATCCCGCCACCGTACCTGGGTTGGGTCAGGCTCCTCACGCATGCCGTCTGGGGCCTCTTGGGATGCCTCCTTGGGGCCTCCTGGGGGCCTCCTGGGGGCCTCTTGGGGGCCTCTTGGGGGCTTCTTGGAGCCCTCTTGGACGCCTCGGGGGTTCTCTTGGGGGTACCTTGCACAGCGGTTTTGGGAGCCTCGGCACAAGAGGGCTCGTGGGGCCTGTTCGGGTTCCCCGCTCCAGGGCCCAAAGCACTGAGGGACCATTTCTCTGCAGTGCTTCTCTTGGTTTCTGGACATGTCATGCGGGGCGCCCACAGGAGCGCGCCGAGGCGCCCAAGAGCGACCAAGAGTACTTGTGAATCCGGGGCCTGGGCCTCTCGAAGAGCGAAGGGACCTGGGGACATCCCGCTCAGTACCCACGGCACGGTAGCGTATTCTTAACTGGCATCTGCTGTGGTTGCCCCGCCGTTCATTGCGTGAAGGGCGGAGCGACCAAACGGGACCTGGTGGGTGAAGAGACGACGCGCACAATCAAGCTGCGCCGTGCTTGGAGCAGTCTTCCTAGGAGGATGACCTTTATACCATTTTTTCCCCCGCAGCCAGGCGACTCCTGGAGCGAATGCTCCAGGAGTCGCCTGGCTCGTTGGCTGGATCCACACCCCAGGGCCGACCGGCCCTGGGGGGGGGGAGGGCAGCTTCCGACGGCTGCCATCAGCACAGCCGGCCCCGACTCGCAGGCCGGCCCTGCCAAGTCGAGGGTGCCCTGGCGTTCTGTGCCTTGCAGCCCGTGCCTCCTGCACTCCCAAGGCGATGTGGCCCCTCGGAAGGGCCTCATGTCCTCTCGCGCGTCCTGTCAGATCAAGGCCGACTGTACGTCGCGGTCGTGTTCCGCTACGGTCGGTCCGAGGTATACGACCCTGGTCGGTTCGTGGAGGGCACCCCACTGTTCGTCGTGCTCGTTGGATGCTCTGGTGCATCCTGGGGAAGCCACTCTGGATGCTCTGTGTGCCTTGGCCGGTGGAGGGTCTCATGCTCTTGAAGGAGGTTCTTCTGTCCCTGGCCCGGCTGTACGTCGCGGTCGCCTGCGTCCGGCCGCTCTGGTCCGGCTGGGCGACTGCCCCGTGGCTGCGCCGCCGCGCCCCTGCCGGGCTGTCTCTTGCGCCGACGGCGCCGGGCACTGGCGCGAGGACGGGGCCGAGGCTGTCCGTGGTTCGGTCGGCTCGGCTGCGTCGCCGTCGGCTGCGTTCGGCCACTTTGGTCTGGCTGGATTCAGGAGGGAAAAAAACACACAGAGATAATGAACCGTCGATCCCCGGGAGATGGGAAAATGTGGGAAGTGGGGGGAAGACAGAACCCAGAAAACATGGGAAAATGTTGGGAATCCTGTGATTTGTGTGTATCCAACTGTGTGTCCCCGGGCCCCTTCACACTTTGGTCTGGCCGGATTGCTGCGCCGCGGTGGCTGCGCCGCGGCTGCGCCGCGGCTGCCCCGCGGCTGCGCCGTCGCGCCTTCGCCACCGGCTGCCCTGTGCGGCCTGTCCTGGTCGGCCTCCGCGGGCCTCGCGCGAGGCTTTGTTGTCGGCCGGGCGCGCCCTCCAGACGAGGGGGCCTCGCCGGCGGTCTGTCCGCGCACTCCCCTCGCCCTGGGCAGAATCAAGGAGCCCAAGGAGGCGCAAATGAATACACACACAAATGACAGGTCCCCCCATATTTTCTCCCGTATTTTCTGGGTTTTGTCTTCCCCCCTCATTTTCCATATTTTCCTATATTTGTTCGGGGAATCGACGATGAATTGTGTCTGTGTGTTTCTGTTCCTCCTGACAGAAGCCGGCGCAGGGCCGGCAGTAGCAGATC